TTTTTCGGTCAATTTCATCGGTTAACCGAACAATTTTGCATTTAACCGATCATTACTCGACCAAGATTTTTCGCTTACTCGCACACCACTAGTCTCTCGCCGAGTGGCGAGTGGATCCTGCACGACCACTGACGACTGCACAATAATGGCGTGGGGTAATCGGTAGTCGATACCAGTATTCAGTACTTGTTAAGTACTTAGATATTTACTCAAGTTTAGGAATGTTGGGGTACATTTTGTTTGTTTATTGCAAAGCATTAAAATTTCTACCGCCCGACAATGATTGTTGTCTGTGATTAATGCTACCCCTCGATAATAATTATTGTCCGTGATTAATATACAAAGACTTGCAAACGATTTTCAAGGTGGAATTTGGGGGATCAAAAGATTTTATGAATATTGTTGATCTCCCCAAAATTCAGAAGGCAACGTTTAGGGGTTCAGCTAAAATAGACCCCAAAAAAAAAGGAAAACAAAGTGAAGCCCCCCCCCCCTCCCCCCTTCCACGCAAAAACTAACCAAAACCAAAATCAAGACCAGGCAAACAAAAATATTAAATTAAAAAAAAACCCAACAGCAATAGAAACAGCACAGCTCAGGTTACTGCATTCAGGTCTACTACAGCATTTCGTGGCCTTTTGTTGTCTAAAAGTGATTGGCACTGTTAGGCTACAGGTAGAGTTTTTTGTAACGTACCCTTTATTAGTATTAGTAAATTTAATACTGAGAACTTATCGCTATTGGGCTCTCAGAGTCGATAAAGTAATCGATATTGGCCAGTATCGACTAGCGCTCACCCCAACTGCAGACTGCAGGGCAAACACCCGATCACATGTCTATGCCGAAGCTACCAAAAATAAATAGGAGTTTAGTTCCCGGTATCCGCGGCCTATCCCTATCTTCAAAACACACCCGATAAGGGAAAGTGAAAGTGAAAGTTGCTGCAAGAGGAAAACTGAAGACATCGCCTCTGTTGGGGGCTAGGTTATCAATCAATATTCTAAACATAGTCCTGTTGTCATACGCAAAGAAAGAAAGATGCAAAAGAAGTGTCTTATCATCTAAAATCTTATTTCTACTAAGGCTGGGTGAGTACTCGGGTACCCAGGTACCCGGATAAAGAACACAAAACCGGGTATTGGTGTCGGGTACCCGGGTTTTCTACTCCACTTCGTTAGTGTGATGCAAATGCACTTAAATGACGTTCCTTCTGTCGAAACTTAATAATTATTGAGTACTTATGGATACTGAGCGCTCTTAGTCGATATAGTACTCGATATAGGCCAACATCGTCTGGAGCCCACCACTACTCGTATCTCTTTTCCCAGGAAATCAGCAGACCACAAAAATGGCCACCTTTGGGCATGTTATAACAAAGTTTCAAAAAATCGATCGGATAGTTCGGTAGGGCTAGGCCTATAGTTTCAATTTCAGAGTCCTTGTGGAAGGAACTAGTATGCAGTTCTAAGAATCCAACGTAGAGGCGGAAAATTTCTAAGAATTATGTGAAGTAAAAGGGTATAAATAGCTTTGGCTTTGTCATTTTAGCAGTTTCTATCAAGATGTTTCAAAGAAGGTCATGCGCTTGGGGTTACTTTGAGAAAATAAAAGACGAAAAAAGGACCTTCTTTAACATCTACAAAAACATAGTAAAACTTGACGGGTCTACAACTTTAAGCCTCTTAAAGCATTTGAAATGAAAAGACACAAATGAAATCGCAAACAGTCAGAGCAGTATAGAAACACCATATGATAATTGAAATGTCGGGTACCCGATGAGTCGGGTATTTTTTTCATTACCCGAGTATCAGATTATCCGTGTAATCCCAGCCCTAATGCCTACAGTCAGAATAAACATCAATTCGTACTGTTTTTTCGAGTATGTAGGCCTATGTATATAACTCTAACCCTAACGGAACACACATTGTAAAAAGTGAATTTCAATGTAAATGAGGTTTTGATTTATGTAGGTGAAATTGAACTGACAAATATTGTGTACAACTTCTGTCAACAGAACAATTAATGTATTATGGTAGAATGAAGAAATCATAGTGCGATCAGAAATCCACTGCGCAACTTATTCTCAAATATCTTTTTAAACTGCAGAATCAATGTCACCCACACTTTGCACGGCAGTTTCAGTCAATTTATCATATCTTAATTAATACTACTACTACTACTACTACTACTACTACTACTACTACTACTACTACTACTACTTCTACCAGTTCCGGATTAACCATTAGGCAAATAAGGCAATTGCCTTGGGGCCACTCAAAAAAATAGGCCCCAAACGGGCCAGAGACAGGGTACAACAAGGCCACATTTTTTCGGGTTTTTTCCCCGTTTTGATCAGGCCGCAGCAAAGCCAGTCAGCAAAGCCAGTCAGCAAAGCCAGTCAGCAAAGCCAGTCAGCAAAGCCAGTCAGCAAGGCCAGTCAGCAAGGCCACAACTAGAATAGCCCTAGGCTAGCCCTAGCCAGAGTCCGACTGAGTTTTTAGTCTCTAAAGTCACCAGATACCTGGCAACCCAAATAACAGTTCCAAAGTTGTGGCCCTGCTGGAGTCAAAAGCCTGCGAATGCTACATTTCTAGCCTAATTTCTGCCAAATTCGACAGTTTTCTAAGTGCACATGAGGTGAAAGGTGAACTGTGCTCACAAAACCCCCGATATAAAAAAATCAAGGTGCTATCTGTATAAAAATTCAGACATCTATTATTAGGCCTAGACGTTTTAAGCAAGGGAAGGGACAGGAAGGGATGCGAACATTATACGTGTAAAAAGTTATTTTTTGTACTATTTTTTGTTTTTTTAGCAGATTGAAACCTTACAAAATTAGTGTCCAGATTCCGAAAGAATAATATAAAACGTAGAATAGACCTAGATCTAGATAAATCTAGTCTAAGTCTAGTAGCGCAGTGTTTATATATTATTTTTTAATGGCATCCCCTCGTTTAGGCCTAAACCCTATCCCCTCCACAACTCCCCCTCCACGGAACTCGGGACTCAACAGTTACTTGTGA